GCAGCGGGATCTGACAGGAAAGAAGCATCAATCAAATAGCCTTCCCGAGGAGAGAAATCGCCCCCCGCCAGCTTTCCGGAAGGACATCGCTCAATTTGTCCGGATATTTGAATAGCGAATGGCCTGGGATCCGGTTCCAGAGGATGCTCAACACTAAATTATCGGTGGCAATGCGTGCGCCAGCAGCGCATCGATCCATCGTCAGGGCGCCCCCCGGGCGCCGAACGGTGGTGAGACAATCGATGTCACTTGTCTCCGACCCGCTACGGAGCTGCTCAGCGTGTCCGTTATAGTTTCAATACTATGACGTTTTTTTATACTTATTTTTTTACCTGTACTATGTAAATGGACCGATCTAAGATGAAATAATGATGTTATCTATAGCTTAGCAAGGGAATTCGCTTTGTAGGAATGGAGATCTTCGATGATACCCTGTTGTATGCACTACATCGTTCCCGCGATACCGGGACTCTTCCTCCTGTTTTCCCATCTGGCCGTGAGGATCGAGGGAAGAACCGTGCTCAAGGCATCACAAAAACGGAGCATTTCGAAAGTTTCCGCAAACGTTAGTGCACCAATCCATCGTTATCCCATCATGAGCCTCTACGAAATATGTAGGTCGATGCGAGTCGATCCGTTTTCGCTTCGATGAAGACTTTCAGCCCTGAGCAACATCGATTTCCGAAAACGTGGAGCGGAAGGATGGACGGATGAATCCTCTAGACATGATTGGAACTGCTATACTCGGGCCATTTATTTTCCTTGTGCAGTATTCAATCGCTGCCGCGGGAATCGTGGAGATGTTCAGCGCCATTGCCTGCATATATGAAGCTCAATACTCCTCCGGTTTCGTCCAGGGTTACGTCGCCTTCTTCTTAGTGAGTACCTACCGGAACGCTTTCCCCCAAATCATCAAGCGGATTTCAGGGCTGCGATATCGTGCCATCGAGCCCACAGGACACGGCCCGAATATCGCGGACGCTGCATCTACGTCGATCGGTCGACCGATCGATCAGTGCATCCCCAACAAGCCTGGAAGATTCTGAGGATACAGCTGTGAATAAAGGTCCCTGCGCGGGATCCATCGAGATCGGGCAGCCGAGGAGTCCTACTATATGATTTTTGCTCCAGATGCTCAGCTGGTTCCTGGGATGCCGTCTCCCTGAGACCGATTCCACCCTCACGATTGGAGCCTTTGCTTGTCTTCAATTGCTGGCACTCGCCGGGAAATTCCTTTACTTCATGCTACTGTTTTCGGTAAGATGCTCCGGGAGGAATTTTCAAGCCTCTTGCGCTCGGCATACATAGGGGAATAAATCGACACGATGATTCCCTGGGCTGTCAGTCAGATTCCCCGCGAAGCTCCCCCTCCACAAACCGTCCTTCCCTTCCAGGATGCGGCAGACGAATCGATCTGCATGTTGCCCTCGGTACCCTCAGCCGTTCTCAAATCCGATCTGATTACGGTGATCCTGCTCGCCATCTGTGTGATTCTGTTCTCATTGCCGAGTCCGCCTCCACATACAACCGTGAGTAGCCAGGAGCCGAAGCTCAATCCCTGAGGATAAGGGTTGAAACTGAAGAATCTTGTCTTTGCAAACGGCAAGACGTTCGCCGAAGCTCCGGAAGGACTACACAAGACTTTGACCCGAGATCGGTTGCGGATCTCCTTCTTGCCGATCGGATATGCTCGTCTTGCAAGAATGTTCACTTTCCGAAAAAGCGATGAGTCGAATCGGCCTCGGGATATCCGAGTAAGCGGGATACAGAACGCGATTAGATTCTACCCAGGGTAAGGGTGAGAATGTATTTTCTCCCCCTGTGCGATAGGCTTAAGTTTCCTCTGATCTATCGATGGATAGAGCGAGTAGTAAATATGAGCGAGGCATTTCAACCACGGAGCGGAATCGCCGTTGCGGTCTCCCCTCGTTCGCTTTGATGACGTGGAGTGACTATCTGCCCGAAGCAAAGGTCAAGACGTCGGCGTCGTATGGTCATTTGTTTCGTCTTCCTCTAGGATACGTAGCCGTAGAACTTTCAAGGTCCCGAAATTGCTTCTCATAAACTGTCACACAAGGTCATTAGCCCCGGATGACTCTAGGCTCGCCCTATGACGATTGTCCGAGTCTCCCCACACTTCTCCTCGTCTCGGTGTCACGTAGATTAGAGCAATAACTTTCTTTAGCCGGGAGCTTGATGGATCCATGGAAAAGCATTCCTCCCTTTGAAGGAATCAGTCGGCGTTTTTCTCCGGCTTCCAGTCTTCTCGGAAACCCGTCTTCGAGCCTTCGCCGGTGACAGATCCGTGCCCATACTGGGCCATCGAACCCTCTTCGTTCGCTGTCATACTGTTCGGACGGACGCTTGGCCGGACCTGTCCGAGCAAAGCGACTATAGCATAAGAAGGGCTAACTGAAACATGATCGCCACCGCGCTTAGTTTCGAAGGTTGCGGTTACAAAGATTTTCGAGGATGTAGCGATCTGGAGCGAATATTCTACATGGATATTACTCATCCAGATGTCATGTACCATCATCCATGAGCCCCTTCCTATCGGGACTATGAAAGTGAAAGAGCACTTAATAAAGAGTCAGTCTCAGACTCGGACTCGGCCCTGCAGTCACGCGCTGTAGACGATTCAATCAGCCCTACGTCTCTCCTCCTTCTTCCAACCAACATCTATAGGAGTGTGCCCTCAGTGATAGCCAGCTTCCATCTAGGCCCCGGGACAACTTCGATTGTCCACCACATTGCTGAGAACCTAAGCTTACTGTCTCGTCATTGAATGAATGACTCGACGAGCCAGCGCTCATTCATGCGAGGTTTCCAATGTCTCCGCTTGATAGCGCTCGGCTCGCGGGGCTGTGCTACATGTGGAATTCACTCACGAACGGCACGCTTGCGAAGCCCTGACAATCGACAGATTCTCCGTGAGCTTCCTGGGTTTCGAGTTATGCACAGGCGGAAGCATGCAAAGAGCGTCCGAAGTTGACGAACATACCTTGTACAATCTGATTCATCTCGCACTACCCTTCGGAAGTTTTGGAAAATGAGTAGAGATTGGCTCGAGAAGCTGCTGTTCATGGTCTCCGAATTCCCAGGGGTCGTGGAAGCCCAAAGAATACTTCTTTTCCGGATGCGACGCGTCAGGCCAAGATTTTCGACACCATCACGGAGTCGATCGATCTATATATATAAAAACGTATGTCTGTCTGTCTGTCTGTCTGTCTGTCTGTCTGTCTGTTTGTCTGTTTGTCTGTTTGTCTGTTTGTCTGTTTGTCTGTTTGTCTGTTTGTCTGTTTGTCTGTTTGTCTGTTTGTCTGTTTGTCTGTTTGTCTGTTTGTCTGTTTGTCTGTTTGTCTGTTTGTCTGTTTGTCTGTTTGTCTGTTTGTCTGTTTGTCTGGCGTCACCTATAGACTCGAAAACGGCTGAACCGATCGTCGTGAAAATTTAGGAGCGTGTTCTGGGCGATCCCCCGGTGGTTATAGGGGGGTCAGTTCTTCGATGCAATGAGTCCTTCTACCTTAAAAAAATTATTTGAGTACTTTTCCCTTGAAAATACGAAATCTCGGAAAGAAATTGAAAAATCGCAAATTCGCTAAATTCACAAACGCCTGAACCGATCGCCGTGAAAATTCAGGGGTGGGTTCCCGGGACCCTCAGGAAGGTCATCTGAGGGTCGTCGTTCTCATGTGATGGGTCCTCCCACCATGAGAAAATTATTTGAGTTGTCCTCTCACCGAGAATCAAAGGTTTCATCAAGGGAAAGACGGGAATGCGCAGGATTTCTTATCGGCTGGACCACTATGAGGGGGCGGATTCTTGGGAGCTCCTGAGAAGTCCATCGGGGGTTGCCGTCATCACTGGCCTCTGTCTTTTTACTAATGAATCTCGCTGAAAATCGCTGTAGCCGTGAAGGGTATCGATTTTCCGGAGGACATCTTCTTATCTTAATCTTAATTCTTAATCTTAATCTTAATATCTTAATTCTTAATTCTTAATATCTTATCTTATATCTTATCTTATCTTATCTTATCTTATCTTATATATAAACATATAATTATAATTTATAATAAACATATAAAAACAAATGTGTGTATGTCTGTCATGGTCGCATACACTCCCATACGACGCGTACGATAGGTCTGATTCGCTGGGATTAAGGGCGTGTCGCATTGGGGAAGGTCTTTAGCACATCAGGTTTCATTAGGATGGAGCGATTGTCATTATTTCCTCTTTTCTGATAATATTGCCCTGACACCTCTGACGATAACGATGTTCAGTATTTTTGATCATGATAGCAACGATTCCCATTTTGAGGGGACGATAACGAAGTCGAGTTTGTTGTCGTCGGTCGTGAGGGGCGAGAGTATGCCTCCCAAACGGAGTTCACTGGGACGCTTGAGTCGACGAGCTACGAAACGCAAAGTTTCAATAGCTTCTGAATCGGATCATCAGAAAAAGATGCGATTTAGAACAGGATAGACGGAGGCATTCGATAGCACGGTTGAATGAAACTGAGGATCGGCGAAACTCTAGGATGGAAAGTGATCGTATCCATCACTCTCTTTCTCGGTCTCTGGAATCGCCAGAACAAAGTATGGTGAGACTAGAACAAAACCGACTGCGCTCTTCACATGTGCGCTCCGGTGAAACTGAGGATGAGAGGTCGGCTAGATTGCTACAGAAAAGGCTGCGGAGTCGTCGTTCTAGAGAGCAGGCACGGCAGGAATTGAATTGCGCAGCATTTGAGTATGATCCTTTTCATGATTATATCACATATGCTGGCCTTGAAATCGGTGAGATGACAAGCGTATGTAAGTTTTTGTCGTGCATTGAAATTCGCAAACGAAAGTCCAGGAATGTGCTGTGCCGGGGGCAAGGTCAAACTACTCGATTTACACCCACCACCTGAGCCGTTGTCAACTCTGATGAGCGGACAAACGAAGAAATCGCAGCATTTTTTAGCCAATATTCGCATGTACAATTCATGTTTTCAAATGACATCATTTGGTGCGACTGAAATCATACGTGGGTCCTACATGCCGACCTTCAAAATCCAAGGTCAGGTGTATCATCGTCATGGGTCTCTTTTGCCATTGCTGGATGCCGATCATGAGTTTCTCCAAATTTATTTTATGGGAAACGCCGAGGAACAGGTCGATCGACGATGCAGTATCCATTCTGGTACAGATAGGGAAATCGTTGGTTCTTTACAAAAGCTCTTCCATCAGTACAACAGGATGGTGAAGCTGTTCACGATCGCTCTGGAACGCATGCCAGCTGATGATTATGTGGTTGTCATAAGAGCGGACAAGACGCCGGCGGGGGAACACGAAAAGCGATACAATGCTCCCACAATCAATGAAGTAGCAATCGTGATAGCTGGAGAGGAATTTAAGTCCCGTGACATAATTCTTCATCGCAGGAATGGTGACCTCCAAAGAGTCTCTGAAACACATCGTTCCTACGACGCTTTACAGTACCCGATCATATTTTGGCAAGGGGATGATGGATATCACTTTAACATCAAAATGAGAAACGCGGTGACGGGTGATGAGTCTGACAAGAAGGTCAGTGCTATGAATTACTATTCATATCGATTGATGATTCGTCAGAACGAGGACAATCATATATTGAAGTGTAGGCAATTATTTCATCAATATGTTGTTGATATGTATGCCAAGATTGAAAGCGAACGCCTACTATTCATTCGGTTGAATCAGACTAAGTTACGATCTGAAGAGTACGTCCATCTTCGTGATGCGGTAGTTTCTGACGGGAGTGTGAACCCCAATCAACTCGGATGCCCAGTCATTCTTCCGGCGACTTTCACGGGAAGTCCTCGCCATATGCATGAATACGCGCAGGATGCGATGACATACGTTCGTGTGTATGGTCGCCCTGATTTGTTCATCACGATCACATGCAATCCTGCTTGGGAAGAAATCAAGGCAAATTTGCTGCAGGGACAAACGGCTGCGGATCGACATGATATAATCGCGCGTGTTTTCAAGCAGAAATTGAAATCCTTAATGGATTTCATCGTCAAGCATTTCGTGTTTGGGGAGACGAGATGCTGGATGTATTCGATTGAGTGGCAGAAGAGAGGATTGCCTCACGCGCATATCCTGATCTGGTTGATTCACAAAATCACTCCAGATATGATAGATCGAGTAATAT